CTACAACTGATAAACACTTTCAGTAATGTAGCAGGATACAAGATTAAATCAAAAATCAGTAGCCCTCCTATATACAGATGATAAAGGGCTCAGAAAGAAATCAAAGAAACATCACCCTTTACAATAGCCACAAATAACATAAAATATCTTGAGGTAACTCTAACCAAACAAGTGAAAGACCTGTATGACAAGAACTTTAAGTCTTTCAAGGAAGACATTAAAGAAGATATCAGAAAATGGAAAGATCTCCCATGTTCTTGGGTAGGATCAACATAGTAAAAATGCCAATCCTACCAAAAGTAATCTACAGATTCAATGCAATCCCCATCAAAATCCCAGCACAATTTTCACAGATCTTGAAAGAACAATGCTCAATTTCATAGGTTAAAAAAAAAAAAAAAAAAAAAAAACCCAGGCTAGTCAAAATGACCCTTTACAATAAAGGATCACCTGGGAGCATCACCATCCCTGACTTCAAGCTCTATTATAGAGGTGTAATGAAAACAGATTGGTATTGTCATAAAAACAGATAGGCAGACCAATGGAATAGAATTGAAAACCCTGAAACCAACCCACACACCTATGAACACCTAATTTTTGACAAAGAAACTAAAAATATATAATGGAAAAAAATCATATTCAACAGATGGTGCTGGTTTAACTGGATGTCAACATGTCTATTGTCATGCACAAAACTCAAGTCCAAGTGGATCAAAGACCTCAAGATAAATCCATCCACACTGAGCCTCATAGAAGAGAAATTGAGAAATACCCTGGACTGCTTAGGCACAGGAGACCACTTCCTAAATAGAACACCAGTAGCACAGACACTAAGAACAACAATTAATAAATAGGACCTCCTCAAACTGAGAAGCTTCTGTAAAGAACATGGTCAACAAGACAAAACAGCTCCCTACAGAATGGAAAAAGATCTTCACCAACTCCACATCTGACAGAGGGCTGATCTCTAAAATATACAAAGAACTAAAGAAACTAGACATCAAACTACTAAATAATCCAAATTTTAAAAAAAATGGGGTTCAGATCTAAATAGAGAATTCTCAACAGAACAATCTCAAATGGCTGAAAGACACTTAAGGAAATGCTCAACATCCTTAGTCATCAGGGAAATGCAAATCAAAACAACTCTGAGATACTAACTTATACCAATCAGAATGGCTAAGATCAAAAACACTGACGACAACTTATGCTGGAGAGGATATGGAGAAAGGGGAACACTCCTCCATCGCTGGTGGGAGTGCAAACTTGTACAGCTACTGTGGAAATCAGTATGGCCATTTCTCAAAATTAGGAATAAACCTATCTACCTCAAGACCCTGCAATACCATTTTTTGGGCATATACCCAAAGGAGGCACACTCGCACCACAAGGACATTTGCTCAACTATGTCCATAGCAGCATTATTCATAATAGCCAGAACTTGGAAGCAACCTAGATGACTCTCAACTAAAGAATGGATAAAGGAAATGTGGTACATTTACACAACGGAGTACTACTCACCATTAAGAAACAATGACATCCTGAAATTTGTAGGCAAATGAACAGAACTAGAAAAAAACATCCTGAGTGAGGTAACCCAAAACCAGAAAGACAAACATAGTATTATTCATCATAAGTGGATACCAGACATAAAGCAAAAGATAACCCAATCTACAACCCCAGAGAAGCTAGAACCCTCTTCCAGAAGCAGATGGAAGCAGATGCAGAAATTCACAACTAACCATTGGGCTGAGCTCCTGGAGAACAATTGAAGTAAGGGAGGAGCAAAAATATGAACAAAGGAGTCGAGATCATGATGGGGAAACCCACAGAATCAGGTGACCTGAGCTAGTGAGAGATCACTGACTGAGGTCTGACAAATGGAGAACCTTAAGACTGAACTAGGCTCCCTTAATATAGGTGGCAATGCTGTGATTGGGACAATATACGAGGCCACTGGAAGTGGGTTCAAGATCTAACACTAAAGCACAAACTGACTTAGTGGAGCTCATTCTATATGGAGAGATACCTAGCTCAACCCAGGCACAGGGGTGTGGAGGTGGAGAGGTGCTTTGGTCCTACCTCAATGAGAAGATGGGACAGATATAGTAGATTTCCTATGGGAGGCCTTACCCTCTCTGAGGAGCAGAAGGGAGGTGGGGTTGGTGGGAAGTGGGGGAGTGGGAGGGAAGGATGGAGGGAGAAGTGAGATTGGAATGCAAAAATTTTAAAAATCCCCTATACCCATAAGTACGTAATAAATGCTTGATTAAAAGAAAAAAAATAAGCTTTCCTCTCTTTAGCAGCTTTAGCCAGGTGTTCTACCACATTGATAAAATATCTAATTAGTGAAGAAAACTGTTATGTCTGGCTCAAAAGATTGTTTTAAAATAAACTGTTATTTTGTTTTGTTTTTGTCTTTTGTTTTTCGAGACAGGGTTTCTCTGTGTAGCTTTATAGATGAGGCTGGCCTTTAACTCAAGAGATCTGCCTGCTTCTGCTTCCCAAGTGCTGGGATTAAGGGCGTGTGCCACCAACACCTGGCTAAAATAAACTTCATGACTTATTATTTAAAAAAAAGAAGTGGATAGACTCCAGGCACAACTATTGTTGATGAACTTGGCACATGAAGGACTCCCCCAAGAACCGATGGAAACAAGTACACTAGTAGGTGTGCTGGGAAGCCAGGAGAGGGCAGTGAAGTGTAGACAGTTTCTTTGACACTTTGTGGTCTTTTAGTGAACAAAAGGGACTCACTGCTAAGAATATCTGATGGCATCAGAGACCCTGGAGGAGCAACTGAGGCTGGAGCTAGGAAAGGAGCGTGGATCACGGCCCTATTCAACAGCACTGTGGTTTTTTTTTTTTTATTTTATTTTATACAGAAGAATTTATTAGGAAGCTGCTGGGATTCTCACTGAATAAAGGGTCAGAATCACATGTGGAATGGACCCTAGCAATGAAGAAGTCTGTAACATTCTTACTTCTGCTCTCCACAGACCTGATGGAAGTTAGCCATGATGGCTTTCATGGTTTTAAGTTACATCCTTGCCCAGAGGCACTGTGAAATTCCTGTATGAGGAATTACTTCAGTAGTCGGTGGTAACAGATAGAGGCTTTGCAGACATCCTAGGTCTTGGCAAGGTCCTTGGGCTAATGGGTTCAATCTCCATCATAACAGTGAATTTCTTCTTGGCTGAAGACCTAGATTCACATTTTGTAAAGATTAATTCCAGAAGGAACAAAATTTATCCATTAAATATTTTAATGAAACTATCTGGCAAGGCTCTGCCTGGAGAGCACTCATTTATCCATGAAGAAACAACGAGTTACAATCAGCTTGCTAAACACCTAAACATAGGTAATTACAAATTGATGTATCCCATTGCCACCTGGTGCTGAGATCAGACACACTCTAGGAAGAAGCAACTGCAGGAGGGGATGCAGTTCAGCTGTTGGAAGATGATGTCATGTTTACAAAGTTCACTTTGGTGCAGCTGCTGAGGGCAAAAGGGTTTTCCTGAGCACCTAAGCAGGTGGGTAACACGGAAGCCACGCAAAGTTATAAGACACTGCTCACATGGCTTCTACCCTCCTTGAATTCCCTTACTTTATGAGCAAAAGCTGAATGGGGGCCCATGGAAGGTTCCATGATTTTTCCTTATTTTGATGTAAACCAGGAAAAAAATAAGACCCAGCTCCCAGGGATTTTCCTGTAGCAAACTCAAGTCTACCAGCCCCATGTTCACCTTTTGCTGCTAGATTCTGGTCCCCCACTTTTTCTTAAAAATCAAACCTCCCAGCGGGTGGTGGTGATACACACCTTTAATCCCAGCAGGTGGATCTCTGGATCTCTTGTGAGTTCAAGTCCAGCCTGGTTGACAGAGTGAGTACCAGGACAGCCAGGGCTACACAGAGAAACCCTGTCTCAAAAAACAAAACAAAACAATCAAACCTCTCTGTTTACTGTACTCATGCCTTAGACCCAACCTGAACCAATTTTCCAATGTGATAAAGATTTGGTTTTATCACATCTTTAAAAAGAAAGGTTAGGGTGTTTAGAGGAGTGAAACCCAACAAACACACTGGCATTCCCCCAAATCAATGCTACCTTGAGTAATTGAAAACAAACAGGTTGGGAGGGTACACAGTGCATGCTGAGGTGCTATTGTTTTCGTCTGATTCTTCAGAAGAGGCACTGAAGAGCATGTTCCCAGATTTCACACGTGGGATCTGAGAACTACTCTTCAAAGAATGACTGACCAGAGGCTGGAGTTGATGGCTCAGTGGTCAAGGGCCTGGGGTTTGATTCCCAGCATACATACACATGGTGGCTTACAACTATCTATAACTCCAGTTCCAGGGAATATGATGCCCTCATCTGGCCTCTCTCTCTTGGGCACCAGGCCCAAACATGGTGCATAGATATACATGCAGGCAAAACACTCAAACACATAAAATAAAGAATAAATCTTTAAAATATGTATATATACCTTTTTTTTTAAAAGAATGCTTGACTAGAGCCAGATGTGGTGGCACGAGCCTATGACTCCAACTACTCAGAAGGCTGAGGTATGAGAATAACTTAAACCACAACTCAAAGACCACTTGAGGCAGTGAAAGCACCCCCTCTCTCTTTACCCCCCCCACACCACCAACTTGGGCACAAAGCAGTTGTGATTAGGTTTTCTGAAGAGCCACCATGTGGGCTAAGCCCAAACATATCCTAGGCCAGGTTTTCAAAGGAGAATGCAGCATATAGCCTTCTAAAAGTTAGCACCATCCCACAAGGAGATGAGCTGCCCTGTGAGGTAGCTTTCAGTGTGGCCTATCACCTGGCAGGGGTGGTTTTTCACATGATATGGAGAGAAAGGCAGAGCAGGGGAGGTTCTGCCCTCTACAAATGAAGTTCTTCTGATTGAATGCAACCTGTACACCAAAACTAAGAAGACAGCCCTAAGAAATTGGGGGAAAAACACACCCACATTATTTTAAGATAGTTTAGCTTGGAAAACTTTAATCAGATGGTGTCATCTCTCCTGATAACTGCTTTAGACATGCTGTAAGGCAGCCAGTGTGCTGGAATACACTGGAGGTCAGGATGTGGGGCAGGGGACCAGGGCTTTAGTTCTGCTTCCCCTTGTATGACTTCTGGCAGCTCCTCCCGAGTTCTCTATAGTCTTTGTCACGCTAAAGGACACTGCTCCTCTGATTGGACCCTCCTATAACAGGTCTAGGGCTACCATTGTGGGTGTTGGGGCAGCACTTGTGGACAGCCAGAGACCACCTCTGTCGGAAGCATCGACCACACTCAAGGCAGGGGAAAGGCTTCTCCCCCGTGTGCAGAAGCTGGTGTTGAGCTAGGTGGCTCCACTGGGCAAAGCGTTTGGAGCAAAGGTCACAAGCATAGGGCCGCTCGCCTGAGTGCACACGCCGATGACTGGCCAGCAGTGAGGGGTAAGCAAAGCGGCGGCCGCAGTCCTCGCAAGCATGCAGCTTCTCCTCTGTGTGGGTGCTGCGATGGATGGCTAAGGAGCCACTCCTTCGAAAGGCACGTCCGCAGTCCGGGCACGGGTAGGGTTTCTCGCCTGTGTGCAAGAGCTGGTGCTGGAGCAGGGTGCTGCGCTGGGAGAATCGGGCTTCACATTGCTCACAGGCATAGGGGCGCTCCCCAGAGTGCACACGCCGGTGGCTAACCAGGCGAGAGGAGGAGGAGAACCGCCGCTCACAGTCAGGACACGGGTAAGGCTTCTCTCCAGTGTGGATGCGCTGGTGGATGACCAGGGCAGTGCGCTGGCGGAAGCGACGGCTGCATTCTAGACAGATATAGGGCTTCTCTCCTGTGTGTGTCCGCTGGTGGATAGCAAGCAGAGATGGGTAGGCGAAGCGGCGCCCACAACTAGGGCACTGATGAGGTTTCTCACCCGTATGTGTGGTCCGGTGATTGGCCAAGGACCGGCTCCGTCGAAAGCAGCGGCCACAGTCAGGGCAGTGGTAGGGTTTCTCTCCTGTGTGTATGACCTGGTGCTGAGACAGGTTCTTCCGCTGGGAAAAACGTTTGCCACACTGGTCACAAACGTAAGGGCACTCACCAGAGTGTGCCCGCCGGTGACTGACCAACAGGGATGGGTAGGAAAAGCGGCGCCCACAGTCTGGGCAAGGGTAGGGCTTCTTCAGATTCTGGGCGCATTTGTGGTTCTCCAGGGCGGAGTGGTCAGGAAAGGTACAGCCACAGTCAGGGCAGATGGGGCCCCCAGACGTCTGTCTGGGAATCAACCGGGGTTTGCTGGGCTTCCGTCCTCGCTTCCCCTTTCGGGGCATTTCCTTAGGTGGGAATGCTTGCTTCTCTTCATTCTTCTGTCTGGTTCTGGTTTCTACCGGGAAACAGAGAAATTAAATACCGGACTGCATGTTTGCATATTAACGTTGAGAGTTACATTATCAAATACACTCAGATCCTGTCAATTGCCAGTGTCAGAGAGCTAAGAATGGCGTACAAAAATGGAAGGCATTTTGAGCTCCGCATCCAGCTCATGTAAGATTGGGGGGTGGTTAAGCTGACTTTTAAAACAGAGGGTTCGAGGACTAAGGGTTTGGTTTGCTTGGCAGAGTGCTTGCCTGGAATTCATAAAGCGCTGGGTTTGATCCTGCACCACATAAAGTGGCTCATCCTTGCTACATAGCTTTACTACGATGCACAAGACTTTATTCTTAAAAATAATCAAACAGTCAGGCGGTGATGGCACAGGTCTTTAGTCCCAGCAATCGAGAGGCAGAGGCAGGCAGATCCTTGTGAGTTCAAGACCAGCCTAGCCTACAAGAGCCAGTTCCGGTACAGTCTCCAAAGCCACAGAGAAACCCTGTCTCAAAAAACCAAAGTAAGTAAATAATCAAACAAAAAACTTGCATGTTTTTAGTAGCTGTGAGGTAGCTCTGTGGGGTACATAGAAACCTTTGTAGAAACTTAGTTTCTTCCAGTGTTGGGGGGGTTGTTTAGTCAGGGTCTCAAGTACTCTAGGCTGGCCTCCAACTCACCAAGTAAGGTGGGGGATGACCTTGAACGTCTTATCCTCCTGCTTCTACCCTCCACTTGCTAACAAGCAGGCACCATGCCTTATTTATGCAGTGCTGGGGATCAAACTGTAAGTAGTGTGTATGTGAGGCAAGCATTCTACCCCCCCCAGCAGCATTCTAATTTCCTTATAGGGTTTATTTATTTATCCATTGACTTATTTGTTGGTTTTTCAAGACAGGGTTTCTGTGTGTAGCTTTGGAGCCAGTCCTGGATGGAGCTCACTTTGTGGACCAGGCTGGCCTCAAATTCACAAAGATCCACCTGCTTTTGCCTCCCGAGTGATAGGAATAAAGGCGTGTACCATAACCGCCTGGCCTTACAGGGTTTTATGACGCAGTACAGATACATAATGGTTTCCCTAAACCTTCCCTACATAAAAGATAGCATACAACATGTAACTGTATGCACACTTTACTTTACTTTTTGCCACTTAATATATATTCTAAGGATCGTTTCATGAAAGAAGATGGTTACTGGTCTCCTGGGACTGAATTTACAGAGTTGTAAATTGCCCCAGTATGGATTCTGGGATCTGACCTTAGGGCTTTGAAAAGCAGCAAATGCTCTTTAACTGCTAAGCCATCTTTCCAGCCCAGAATTTGCATTTTTGATGCATTCCTATACTGGTTTTGTGACAACTCGACACAAGTTGGAGTCATCTGGGAAGAGAGAATCTCAATAGAGAAAATACTTCACCAGGTTGGCCTGTGGTGCATTTTTCTTTAGTGATTGATGTGAGAGTACACCCTCCCATTTTGGTGCCATACCTGTACAGGTGGCCTTGGGTATATAAGAAAGCAGGCTTAGCAAGCCATCAGAAGCAAGCAAATAAGCAGCCCTCCTCCATGGTCTTTGCTTCAGTTCTTGTCCATGGCTTCCTTTGATGGATGTACTGTAATGTGAAAGTGTGAATGAAATAAACCCTTTCATCCCCAAGCTGCTTCTGGTCATGGTGTTTGTCACAGCAATAAAAACCCTAAGACAGAAATTGGCACCAGGAGTGGGGTATTGCTGCGGCAAACCTAACCATCTGTTTTGAGGAGAGTGTGGTGGCAACTTTGAGCAGGGAAAGGTGTGAGAACTCATGGTATGGTGGGCTATTCTGTGGGAACTCAGAAAATAATGCTGTGAGCAGTGCAAATGATGGAGGCCTGGGTTGTGAAGTCCCAGAGGGAAGCCTGACACTCCCTTAAACACTCTACAAGACATACATATCACATAATATATATTACATATTTTTAAAATTTTATTTTCAAGTCAGGATTTCTGTTATCCTTGACTGTCCTAGAACTAGCTCTGTAGATCAGGCTGGCCCTGAACGCAGAGATCTCTGCCTCCCAAGTGTTGAGGTTAAAGGTATGCACCACCACCCTCTGGCTATATGATATTTTTAATTAAGAACCACTAAAGAGAAACCTTTGCTTAGCCAAGACAATTAATGCTGGTCAGCTGGGTCTGAGAAATTAGCATGCTTAAAAAAATACCAGTATCACCAAGGATCATAAATCTGGGAATATTTCCTCAGGGTCAGCATACAGAGCTGTGGTCCATGATGGGGTCAAGGCAGAGTCTCATGATGGCAGCTGAACTTCATTATATGTTAGATTTTGAAGGGATAAAGGGTCATGGAGAAAAACTGAGGGTTGGCACTGTGCCAGGCAAGCACAGACCAGTGGTGAATGTGTAGCTTCAATTTAAGTAGAAACCTTGGACTGAAGGGTTCAGAGAGGGAAATTGAGGCCCAGGAAAGGATATTGAAGATGTAGCCCTAGCACTCTGCAGATGCCTTTACCATGGCTGGCCACCACCCATGGCAGCAGCTGTGGTATCAGCTTGAGCTTAGGAAGCTGCATGTGCTGAGGATGACAACCACATAGGTGCTGGTGCTAAGCCCTCTGAGCCCAGATTGGCATTCTCTGGGCTGATGCTGAGAATGTCTGATGCTGAGACATTCATACTGTTAGACTTTTGCTTTGATTTAACTGTGCCCTGGTTACTACTATTCGGGAATAAAGTGTGCAGCCTATAATTGTTGTTATTATTATTATTACTTTTATAGGAACCCAGTTTATTTTAGAGAGATTTTTGATATTCTAGAGAAACTTTTTGAAAGAGAATTTGGACACTGTAAGGACATCCAACTTTTGGAGTGTTTGAATTGAGACCTTGGAACAAACAAGTAAAGGAAGGTTGTGGTTAACAGGGTTGTGTTTGTGTGTCAAGCTGACAAGGGGTCAATTGTGCTGGATTAGTTTGTCAACTTGACATCATCTAGGAAGAGGGAACTCAATGGACAAAATGCCCTCAGCAGACTGGCCTCTGGGCAAGCCTGCATTTTCTTAATTAGTGATTGATGTGGGAGGGCCCAGCCCACTGTGAGTGGTGCCATCCCTAGGCAGGTGTTCTCGGATATATAAGAAAGCAAGGAAGAAGCCAGGCAGCAGCCTGCCTCATGGCTTCTGCTTTAGTTCTTGCCCTGACCTCCTTTGATGATGAGCTGAAAATGTAAATTAAATAAACCCCTTCCTCCCCAAGCTACTTTTGGTCATGTTTATTACCGCACAGAAACTCCTAAGACAACTCCCAATTATGTATGCAGCTGCTGGTATAGAAGCACTTTGAGAGCCACGGGCTGTGACAATGTTAAAGACCTTGGAGTGCATTTCACCCAGTAGTTCACAGCCTAGGAGCACATTCAAATCAATGGGCCTTTTCTTTTCTTTTTTAAATTCAAGAGTTAATCGGGGACTACTGAGATGGCTCAGTGGTTAATGTCTCTTCCTACTCTTTCAGAGTGCAATGAAGGCTAGGTCCCAGATCCTGGGAAGCAGAATCTTTTTCAAAACTCAGTGGTTTCATTTATGTCAGTGGAGTGTTGCAGGTAGTTAGTTTGCCTACAGTGCAAGCAACCCGGTTACCCCTAACCAGACCAAAATTCTAGTTTGGGTCGGCAGAGTTAAGAGAGTTACACTTAAGGGCTGCAGGGTCTTCATGGGCGTTTCTCACTCACTTCTCTGGAATGTTACCCATCTCCGGTACTCCTGCGGATCTAGGGCTGCCGGTTCCCAATCATCGGTATTTCGTTCCAACCAGGAGATGAGAGCTGGTTTGGGACCTGCACATCCTGGGGAAGGAGAACCAGTCAGAGGGCTGGCCTCGGGAAACGATGCTAAAAAGTATGCCGAGGCTCTGCCCCCACCCCTAAGAGCTGGTTGCAGGTCAGGACCCTGGGTCCCTGCCCCCACTCTACCCCGCCCTCAAGCTCCATCATCCCTTAGGCCCCGCGTAAGCCGATTGGGCCGGGCCTCACCGAGCGCGCCCAGGAGGCCGTAGGTCTCGCGCATCACATCCCGGTACAGAGTCCTCTGCGCGGGCCGCAGACAGCACCACTCCTCCGAGGAGAAGTACACGGCCACGTCCGCGAACTTCAAGGCCCTTGGCCTCCTGCCCCTTCTCCGAGTAGGTGCAGCTTCTCCTGGTGCCCGCGCAGGGAGCGGAGCCGAAGGCGGCGCCATGGGACCTGCGCCCCGGCCGGGAAGGCCCGGAGGAAATCTGAATCGGCCGCCTGAGGCGCCAAGGCGGCCCAACACAGACTACACCGTTATTCAGGAAACTCCGGCTGGAACTTGGGTGAGAGGCACCGGAAGATGCCTTCGGGGAAGATGGCGGCGCTGCTCCTGCACCACCGCTGCCTACAACACAGGCAGGTTCCAGCTATCGATTTTATTGACCTGAGCGCCATGCCGGCTTCTTAACCTTCCTGCCCTAAAGTGTAATGGCGCTGCGAGATGGCTTCATGCCTACTTTCCTCCTTATCTATTGCATTCGTTCATTGGTCGGTAGCTGAAGATCAGATGTTCGGATTGGATGGTGGCGAAAGCGGCCCGTTTGAATGAAGCCAACGGATTCTTAAGGGCAAGAAGGTGGATGGAATGTTCCTAAACAGGTTTTGAAAAGTGTAGGTGTTGGAGGCTCTCCTTGAGTTCTTCAGTGTTTGTTTGACCTAGCTGGAGAAGACGCTTCTACATGTGTCTCTAGGGAAAGTCACACAACGTCAACGTGGATTTGTTGAACAGCTGCATTCTATGACCATAAAGTTGTCGCAGGCTGGAATTCTGAAAAGTCCTAGGAAAGAAGGGAGCAGTGATAATATTCTGATGCACAAATGGCACTTCTGGTAAAACTGAATGACCAGAAGGGTAAGTTGACTGATCTTGTACCTTAGGCAGCTTCTAAGTAGTCTATAGAGATGACTGGCCCACCTTCCAATGCTTTAGGAAGTTTGATTTTTGTTTGGAGGCAAAACTAACAGCTTTGTGCTTACTCTTTCTTTGTACAGTGGAATGCACTATAGGCTGCTAGGGGGGACAAAAGGCAAATGGCTAGCTGATCATTTCACTTGTAAGGAAGCAGGGAAGTCATGTCTCCACTGTTGCTTTCCTAAATAGTGCAGTTGAGCCATTAGTGTGTTCCGGGGTAGCATGGACATCACAGTGAGAACCTGTTTTTGAAGGAAGAGTCTGTAGCCCAGTGGTAAGGTATTTGCCTAGCATGCCTGAGGCTCAAAGTTCTATAAAAATATTTTTTTAAGTGGATAGCCAGGACTGGGTTTGAAACCTAACCCTGTATAAATATCAGGACAAACTGTAAAGAAAACTGCCCACTATAGAGAAGTGTGAAGGCAATCCACACATCAAGAGGCCACACAAAGATATCTGTACCTTTGTTGCTGAGAGCTAAGTAAGCACCTGGAATACTAAAGTGGAATACTACATTTTCTGATACTTACTGTCTTTAGAGTTCTTACGGGGATAATTATCACTATGTCACAGTGCAAAGCCCTGTCTTGATTACCTGTATTGCCCACTCCCCAAGTAAAATAAAATCATAAGGCAGCTGGGTGTGGTGGCACATGCCTTTAATTCCCATCACTTGAGAGGCAGAGGCTGGCAGATCTCCGAGTTTGAGGACATCCTGGTCCACATAGTGAGTTCCAGGCCAGCTAGGGCTACCTCAAAAAACAAATGAACAAAAATTAAAAACAAAAGGAATAAACAAAAACCCCACAAATCTTGATCAGCTTGCTTCAAATCTATTACTAGATGTAGGAACAAAATCTGAACCTGGGATGTCTTCTCTGTGGCAGTAACAACTCTACATTGGACAAAAAGCCTTAAGACTGATTTCTCCCAAGCTGGAGAGATGGCTCAATGGTTAAGAGCACTTGTTTTTGCAGAGGACCTAAGTTCTGTTTCTAGCACCCACATGGTGGCTGATAACCACCATCTGTAACTCTGAGAAACCAGACTCTGTGTCCTCCACCAGCAGCAGCCACACCTGTGGCACAGTGAGGCAAAACACCTATATTTAAAAACTAAATACTTTTTAAAAGATTCCCTCCATGGGTCATGCTCAGTGAGGGTCAATGCCTAGAAATGCAACTTAAATGTTAGCACACTCTCAAGTTTACAGACTGCCTGGACCCAGACCTTTGCCTGAGGGACAAGCAGTGTCCTAGAAAGATGTAGAAAAACTCCTTATTAATGAAAACAATAATTGCCTTTTCTTCTTTTCCAGACAGGGCCTCCAGGCTAGAATTAAAAGTATGCATTGTACACCCAGTTTTATTTGGTGCTGGTGGTGGAATCCAGAACATTTTTGCAAATTAGGTGTCTTAGTTAGGGTTCCTATTAGTGTGATATATGGTTATATTATTTATGATTTATTAAAGCCACTGGAGATCAAAATAGCAAAACAGCCATACTAGTTAGCCATAGAAGCCAGGCAGTGGTGGCACATACCTTTAATCCCAGGACTTGGGAGACAAAGGCAGAAGGGTCTCTCTGACTGAGTTCAAGACCAACCAGGACTACTTGAGACTGAATCAGTCTAAAAGAGTAACAGAGTTCACACCTTTAATTCTGAACAGGGTATGCCAAACCCTATCTGCCACCTGTGCTCACATATACCTGTGAATGACTATAGGAGCCTCTGACAGATGCACTGCCCATGGTTAAGTCACTGGTAGATTATCTCTCTTTGAGAATGAGCTAGTAATAAAGTTTTCCAGTTGGCATAATGAGTGGCAGATTATAGGCAACGGTGGCACCAACAATCTGCATACATCTGCATCTCAGGTGGAAAATACAGCCAAAGTTGGCACAAGTTGTAGGCTATTATCTCTGATATGAAGAAACTGGTGCTAGACCAGATGAGCTCTCTGAGAGAAGTAGGTACAAGGGCTGAGGGTTTGGTTTAATGGTACAATGCTTGCCCAGCAGGATTCCATCCATAGCACTGTTAAAAAAATACAAAAAATGAAACAAAAGTATAGTGTTTTAAGCTGGGGTCTTAGCCAGGACAAAGAGGACATCCTCTAGTTTGGTGGTAGTGGCACACACCTTTAATCACAGCACTTGGGAGGCAGAAACAGGTGGATCTCTGAGTTCAAAGGCAGCCTGCTACAGAGTGAGTTCCAAGACAGCCAGGGCAATAGAGAAACTCTGTCTTGAAAAATAAAAAGCTGAGATACCACCTGCCTATGCCTCCCAACTGTTTTCACTTTTTGTTGTTTTGTTTTTTAAGACAGGGTTTCTCTGTGTATCCCTGGCTGTCCTGGAACTCATTCTGTAGACCAGGCTGGCCTTGAACTCACAGAGATCTGCCTGCCTCTGCCTCCTGAGTGCTGGGATTAAAGCCACCACTGCCTGGACTGTTTCCACTTTTTACTCTTGCTTTTGTAAAACAAGGGAGTTTGGATCTCTAATTTTGAGGCCAGGCTGGTCTGCATAGTTAATTCCAGAATAGTCAGGACTGTGTCAAGAGAGACTGTCTCAAAAGTGGGGGAGGGGAAATTGTCTTTGGGGGTTGGGGTCTGGGCATTGTGTGGGAACTGAGAGCAGCACTGGAGATTGTTCATTCAGGGCAGAGGACTTATGTGGGAATCTTCATCTGGTGTGGGAAGCCCCATCTGGTGTAGCAGAAGCAGTAGTTTTCTATTTAAGGAAAGAAAAAAGAAAACAGACTTTGGCATGATAGGGAAAGTTCCAGAGGCGTAAGAAAAAAAATGAGCCCTCACTCCTAGTCTGAATGAAGCCTCTCACTGAGATGCAGGAATTTCAACAGTTAACAAGTCCCCTGTGAAAGCTGCCAACAGCAGGGGGACAGCATTTCTTCCATGCAGAAATATGTCAGCCAGGTGTGATGCCACGCCTTTGACCCCAGCACTCAGGCAGAGGCAGGAGCTCTTGAGTTCAAGTCCAGCCTGGTCTTAATTTTTTTGTGTGTATGGATGTCTGTGTACCACCCAAATTCCTGCAGTGTTTAGGGACACCAGAAGAGGGTGTGGGATCCCCTGAGACTTAGTTATAGACACCTGTGAGCTGTTGTGTGGGTGCTGGTACTTAACCCAAGTCCTCTCAAAGAGCAACTAGTGCTCTTACTGCTGAGCTGTCTCTCCAGACCCCACCCTGACCCCATACACCTTAACCCATGTTTTTACCTTATCAAATGGTGATCCTATCCAGTGCACCTTAGGAATCAGCCTATGATCTCATATCTAAAAAAAACTCATAGCAAAAGGCTTCTCAGCAACCCCTTGAAATTTAACTTGAGTGCCACCAAAATGGTTTATGTGGCTACTATCCTATAAGAAGCCCATGTCCCTACTTTCAGATACACCTTATAATTTTCCTAGGTACCTTTCTATTTTTTATAAACTCCAACTCTGCTTCATACTGGCTCACACTGAGATTCTTTTTTAAAAGTTTTTGTTGTTGTTGTTTTGGGTTTTGTTTGTTTGGTTTTTTTTTTTTTTAATTATTTATTTGGGCATAGGGGAACTGTTCATTCCTGCCATCAAAGGAAGTCAAGACAGGAATTCAAACAGTAGGAACCTGGAGGCAGGAGCTGATACAGAGGCCATGGAGAAAGGACTGCTACTTATTGGCTTGCTCCTCATGGCTTGTTTAGGCTGCTTTTTAACAGAACCCAGGACCATCAGCCCAGGGGTGGCACCACCCACAATGGGCTGAGCTCTCCTTATCAATCACTAATTAAAATGTCCTACAGGTTTGCCTATATAACCTGAATATTTTTTTGTTTTTTGAGACAAGGTTTCTCCGTGTAACAGCTCTGGCTGTCCTGGAACTCACTCCATAGGCCAGGCTGGCCTCAAACTGGAAGAGATCTGCATGCCTCTGCTTCCCTAGTGCTGGGATTAAAGGCATGCACCTCTCCTCCTTTTCTCTTCACAATGTACAAAAGATTATTACACAACAAAGCTTGATGGCACACACTCAGCACTTGGGAGGCAAAGGCAAGTAGGTCTCTCAGTTTGAGTCCAGCCTGGTCTACAGAGTGAGTTCCAGGACAGCCATGGCTACACAGAGAAACCCTGTCTTAGAAAGAATATTGCTAAGACTTTATTCATAATAGCCCAAAACTGGAAACAATCTAAATGTCCCTGAAAAATGGATAAAGAAAATGTGGTATATTTACACAATTTTCTAGGCTACTTAAAAAAAAAAAAAGAAAGAAAGAAAGAAACCTCATAAAATTTGCAGGTAAATGGATGGAACTAGCAAAAAGCATCCTGAGTGTGGTAACCCAGAAAAGACAAGCATGGGATGTGCTCATTTATAAATGGATATTCACTGTAAAGAAAAGATCATCATGATACAATCCACAGACCCAGAGATGCTAAGTGATAAGGAGGGCTCAAGGGGACCTTGTGGATCTCCCTGGGAAAGGGAAAAAGAATAGATTCCGAGTGTGGGCTGGAGATAGGTGAGGATGGGAACAAAGGGTTGAGGTAGAAACCTAGTGCAGTAGAAACTCCCTGGAATCTATGAGGGTGACCCTAGTGAAGACTCTTAGTAATGGGGTATCTGGAGCCTGAATTGGCCATCTTTTGTAACCAGGCAAGGCCCCAAGCGGAGGGACTGGGACACAAACCCAGATACAAAACCTTTGACCTACAATATGTCCTGCCTACAAGATGCGCTAGGGTAAGGATCGTGCAGAATTTGTGAGAGTGGCCAACCAATGACTGGTTCAGATTGAGACCCATGCCCACTCCAACAATGGAGGGCCAAGACCCAGAGTCTGGATAGTCCAGAAACCTAGGATAGAACCAAACACAATTGGCAACAACAACAACAAAAAAGTCAATGAAATGATTCCTAAAGATATTCTGCTATACTTGTAGACCAGAACCCAGCATAACTGTCACTGGAGAGGCTTCATCCAGCAACTGATAGAAGCAGGGGAATTCCTCAGAAAAGCAGGAGGGATTGTTGGGGTTAGATGTGCCAAGGACACCACAAGCAAGGTCCACAAAATTAACTAACCAGGCCTATAGGGGTTCATAGAGCCTGGAGCAACAATCAGGGAGCTTGTATGGGTCTGACATGGGTCTTCTACATATATATTATGGTTGTGTAGCTTGGTGTTCTTGTGGGACTAACAGTGGAATCAGGAGCTGCCTCCCACTCTTGATATAAAGGTATGCACCTGGTTTTATTGTTATGTGTAATGCCATGTTTGCCTGATATCCCTGGGAGACCTTATCTTTTCTTAGGGGAAATGGAGGAGTGGATCTGAGGGAGGGGTCAGGGATGACAACTGGGAAGAGAGAAAGGAAGAGCAACTGAGATTGGGTTATAATGTATGAGAGAAGAATAAATAAATTAATTCTCTTGAAAAAAATTGATTAATTTAAACAAACGATAACAATTAAATGCTTGGGTTTTGGGGTTTTTTGTTTTTGTTTTTTTTTTTTTTTTTTTTTTTAACAAAATCTCAGTGTTTGGTTTTACCTATGAAGACTCAGATGCTGGAGTGAAAGGCTGCTAGCTCAGAGAGGCAGAGAAAGCACCCAGCTGACCTTCCTCCTCCACCAATGTCCCAGAAAGAGATCTTTCTCAAACCAGACTCCTCCAACTCAGTATTCCTCCCTTCTACTTCTTGTGTGTCTCTCTTTACTCCCTAACTCCCTCTTACTGTTTTTTTTTTTTTTCTTGTTCACTTCCTGTCAACTGATTGCTTGCTCTGCCTCTTGACCTATGACTTCATTTAATCCTGTTTACAAAAAGCAGAAAACTCTTGGATTAAAGGTGTGTGCTAGGGCTGAGCCATAACACAACTAGAAACAGGATTTTTTTACCCCCAGAAAATAATGCAGTGTCAATGTGATCATATATCCTGCAACAAATGTTGCCTTACAAAAAAAATAAATAAATAAATAAAATAAAAAGAGTACTACTAGGACTGGAGCTAGGTGTCCTGGAGTACTAGTTGAAGATGTGTTACTTCTGTATGTATGTATCCCTGCAGGCCAGAAGGAGACACCAGATCTCATTACAGATGGTTTTGAGACACTATGTGGTTGCTGGGAATTGAACTCAGGACCTCAGGAAGAGCAACCTGTGCTCTTAACTTCTGAGCCATCTGTCCAGCCCAATGTTACATTTCTTTATGCTGTGGAACATTTGTGTAATGATGCAAAGATGAGTTGCATTCTTTTACGTTGCATTTGCTTAACTCTTTGAAGCTGTGTCACTTTGCCTGTCTAAAGCACCTGATTGGTGTAATAAAGAGCTGAGCAGCCAGTAGCTAAGCAGGAGAAAGGATAGGGGGCTGGCAGGCAGAGAGAATAAATGGGAGGAGAAATCTGGGAAGAGAAGGATAGAAAGGGGGGGGGGCTCAAAGAGCCCAAACAGTAAAGAATAAAAACAACCAACTACAGCTGAGTAGTTAAGAGCACTTACTGCTGTTGCAGAGGGCCTGGGTTTAGTTTCCAGCACCCACATAGTGGTTCACAACCAGTTATAGGGATATTAAGCCCTCTTCATGCCTCTGTGGACACTAGGCTTGCGGATAGTACACTTACATATATGCAGACAAAACATCCACACACTTAAAATAAAAATAAGCATTTAAAAATATTACTAAAGGAAGACATTAGATACAAAAGACTACATCTTACTATTGCATTTGTACAAAAAATGGCCAAATAGTAAAATGTACAGAAGGTAGAAAGGTGCAGGAACATGGTGTATAGACATACATGCAGGCAAACCATCAATGAATATTAAAGGGACAACGGCAGTGGGGGCCTATGCCTTTAATCCCAGTACTTGGGAGGCAGAGGCAGTGGATCTCTGAGTTCAAGACCTGCTTGGTCAACGGAGTGAGTTTCAGTATAACCAGGGCTACACGGGGAGACCCTGTCTCAAAAACAAACAAGCAGCAACAAAAGCGAAAGTAGATAGGGCTTTTAAGGACTAGATAAGGGATGGAGGAAATTATGGCCAAGAGGTGTGGGATTTCTTTTGGAGGAAATTACTAAAATTGCAATGATACTTTTGTACTCAGAGAACATGCTAGTGAGATGGCTCAGTAGGAAAAGACACTTGCTAGCCAAACCTGAAAACTTGAGTTCAATCCCCCAAACCCACATGATGGAATGAGTGGACTCCATCAAGTTGTTCTGTGACCTCTGTACCCACTATGGCATGCCCTGCCTCCAATAAATGAATAACACTTAAGTCTTAAAAGCCACTTCCTATTTGTTTTATTTTTCTCATGGCTCTGGGAACTAAAAAATATTTCATTGTACATTTGGATTAGTGAATTGCATGGCATTTGAATATTTGAAGAAAAGTGTTTACTAGCCAGACATAGAGGTGCTTATTTGTAATCTCGGCACTTAGAAAGCTAAGGCAGGAGGGACTGCTGTGAATTTTCAGCCAACTAGCCTGGGCCTTGCAATGGGTATTCTTGGTTGACAATTTGACTACATCTGAAATGAACTAAAACCCAAGTGGCTGAGTATGCCTGTGAGGGATTTTCTCTCTCAATCTCTCTCTGTCTCTCTTTCAAGACAAGGTTTCTCTGTATTGCTTTGGAACCTGTCCTGGAACTCGCTCTGTAGATCAGGCTGGCCTCGAACTCACAGAGATCCGCCTGCCTCAGTCTCTTGAGTGCTGAGACTGAAATTGTGAGTAACCACTGCCTGGCAATAAGCATACTTTTTAAAAAGTAATTTTTTTCTTAAAAAGGGGGGAGCAATTGAGGAAAACACCCAACAAGGCTCTCTGGCCTCCACCTACACATCACATTCTCTCTCTCCTCTCTCTCTCTCTCTCTCTCAGACTGGTTTGGAACAGGGAATCCTAGGGAAGTTAGGGCTTTGGTTAGGTGATGAAGGCACATTCACAGTGCAAAACGCCAGTAAAAGCCCACTTCTTCCCCCACCAACAGTCCAGCTCCTAATAAAGGGTCTACTGGCATTAGAGTTCTACTCCTTATCACTTATTCCTAAAGACTGACACCCTGCATAGGCCAGGCTTCTCTCCAAAAAGTTACTTCTGCAAGCCCAGAATAGAAAGGACACACTGAATCTGCTCTACCGAGCAATTCAAGGTTAGCTATTGGTCTCCTGCAATAGAACCTCTATCGAACCTTCCAAGTAGCCTGGAGACAGTTCTTCGGAAGAAGTAAACATATACACCAGTGAATGAAGCTCATCCAGCCTTCTCCCCGCTTAGGTTCTGCCCAGTCTCTCCAAAAACTGAACAAGCCAGAGGACGCACCGGCACTAATTTTTAACCAAGGATCTTCATGGTCCCTGCCCTTCTTTTACCCTCACTCCCAGAGCCTCAATCCCCGAGGGACCTGAGAGAACAGGACTTTCTCAAGTCGTTAGCACACAATCGATGTTTACTGGCATACAAACAAGAAAAAGAAATACGGAAGGACGTTTTATAAAAGGTGGAAAAACTTTAGCTTCACTATAATTGCTCAAATATATCAAGAAACCTGTCATAGTAGTTGACCGCTGACTGGCCTTTGAAAACTTACGATATTCGGTCGACTAGTGCTCAAGCCTGACTGCCCTCAATTATAATGGCGGTGTTGTCCCAGTTTAGCTTCTTGCCCCTAAGTATCATGGCCGCCTGGAGGTTTCACGTAGTTTCTCCTAACCCCGGAAGACCAGGGCTGGCGATTGGGCGGTGCCCAAAACACAGAGAAGAAGGCCTCTGACGGTTGGATAGAGCTGCGAAAGGCTGGTTTTAAAGAAGCCGGAGGTGGGAGCTGTCGAAAACCCGGGATCCTTAGAAAGCTGTGGTGAGCGTCGCAGGGAAGGGGTGGAGTGGGGAGGGGGGAGGGAGACACCTGGCTGTTGAGAGGGCAGAGAGGCCGGCGGAGAAAGAAACGTTTAAGTCATCTGGTCTCGGGTTCCCGAGAACTCGGGGCGGGGATCCAAGCAGGGCGGGGGCTTGCGATGCGATGTTACTGGTGGGCTGGACCTTCCGGGATTGGAGTGAATGGGGTATCGGGTTGACAGTGTCTGCCCCGGAATCCATACTGAGTTCGTTGATGAGCGTGGGTCTCCCTCGAGTGGAACTTCGTTAAGACGAAGCTCACTGTGGGAGGAGGCGAGTCGCGCGGCTTTGGATTGGAAGAACCGTGCTGTAGGATTCTTTCCACAGAGATCCAATTTAGGCGATCTGGTGGAAGGGGGGTAGCAGTTAGTATGTGGAGTAATTCTGGAGCCTCTGCTTGGCGGGGCGAGGATCACAGAAGAATCTAGCGGAAACGGAACCTCCCAGGACCGGAATCCCAGCGGATCACAGCAGATCCCAGAGAACCTCAGGGAGGCATCTACAGGGACAAAGGTCCCAGGAGGCTCGATCCGTGGGAGAGCTGTGACCTCTGCCATCCAGTCTCGGCAGGTGCCAGGCAGGGCCCGAGTGAAGACCCGGCTCTGAGCGGGCAGCTGGGGGCGCCCTTTCGAGGAAGGGCCTGTGGCCTACCGGGAGCCACAGGCGGAACATGAAGGGCGGAGTCCCGGGGGAGGAGCTGGCCCTCACTCCCCACTCTCCTGTTCCCTCTTTACCCCAGGCCGCAGCCTGGGATCCCCCAAGGACTCCCCGGAACCACCACTTTCCCCATGGACTTGCCTGGGGACTCCAGGTGAGAGCGCACTCCGCCCGCCTGCCTGCCTGTACTAGCCTGGGACACGGGGATCCTGGCGGCAGTACCCGACCACTACAGAGTCACTACAGAGCCAACAGCCGGTTCAGGCAACTGTCTCCTACTTCTTTTACCCTCCAGCCCTTCTAGACAGTCAAGCCTTTGCCGCCAGCCCCTAACTCGAGCATTATGGGAAGCCAAGAGCCCGAAAAGACCGAGGCTGCAACCCTTAGGGACCCCTTCGCCCTTGGAAAAGGCCTCTCGGCGGGTCCTGGCCGTAGTGCTGGAAGATGTCATGGCTACAAACAAGGTGAGCCCTTTAATTGAAAGACCCCTCCCTCTCCCCTGTCTCCCCCGCCCCGCCCCGGCCCTAGCTCAGTACTAAAGTCAGGCCAGATCCCTTAAGCCAACGTTCAAAGCAGTCTCCTTAATGCAAGACTTCTGCATGGTTCTGGGTTATGTCCTCCCCGCACCCTCCATTGAGCTGGAACCATATCCTACTAAAATGAGAAATTCTTCTGACTGCCCTGGCCCCTGGAAAGCATGCTGGCGGTTGGTGTCTTTGGCTACACGGCAGAGATGAGAAAAAATGTCACCTCTTTTTTCTGTTTCTTCAGAGCCTGGGTTAGAAGATTAGATAACTTACATTTCACACCTGTAGCTCCATATCTCACCCCTAATTCAAACCAAATCACTTCCTTTAGGAATCTAAGTGAATTCCATCCAAAGTCTGCCTCCGCTGTGAGTAGGGTCACTGAGACACAGAAGATCCTGTCCATTTGGCCTCATTTAATTACTTTGCTCTTTGCTACTGTTTTGTCTTACTAAGATAGGGTCTCACCTTTTAGCCCAGGCTGACCTGGAATCCAGCTCAGCTTCCTTTTAACAACTCTTCCTCTCTTAGGCCCCCCTGGCATACCAAGAGGACACCTCCAGGCCAATGAATCGCAACAATTATCAGGACTCTGTCTGCAGACAGTCACCTGCTTTACCACCCCGACAGGTCAAGTGGTCCTTACAAGCCAGGTGAGTGTGAGAGGAAAGGGAATAAGCTGAGAACACAGCTGAACCCACTGATCTTCCTGTTCTTTCTCTAGGCCTCCTGACCCACTGCATTTGTGCCGAGAACCCCTGAGCCGTACCCACCAGTCCTCTCCCACCTTGAAGATGAGATCAAGGACAGCCCCTGGCCCAGCAGAGAGCTCTTCACAAAAGATGAACCAGGTCACCCAACCTACCCTGGTGGTGGTACTGGAAGACATTGCCAGTCCCAGACAACCAGCTGAGGTATAAGAAAGTATGGTGAATATGTCTGGGTCCAGCTAAGGCAAACATGAGGCTGAGGTGGATTTCTGTAAGGCAGGACAACAGAATTTTTTTTAATTGTGTACTTTTATTTTATTTACATTGGTGTTTTGCCTGCATGTACATGTGTGTGAAGGCACTAGATCTCTTGGAACAGGAGTTAGACAGTTGTGAGCTGCCATGTGGGTTCTGGGAATTGAATGTGGGTCTCTGGAAGAGTAACTTAACCACTGAGCCATCTCTCTAGCCTGCTCCCCCCCCCCCCGTTTGTTCTTTTTTTTGTTTGTTTGTTTGGTTTTTTTTTTTGTTTTGTTTTGTTTTTTGAGTCAGGGTTTCTCTATATCACAGCCCTGGCTGTTGTAGACCAGGCTGGCCCTGAACTCAGAGAGATCAACCTGCCTCTGTCTCCCGAGTGCTGGGATTAAAGGTGTGCACTACCACCCACCCCCTTTTTCAGACAGGGTTTCACTATGTAGACTTGGGTGGCCTAGAACTTGCTATATAGACCAGGCTGACCCAATTTGTAGCCTGCCTCTACCTTTCAAGTGTTGGGATAAAGGCTTGTGCCACCACCCAAATGACAACATTTTATGTGATAGACAGTACCTGAATAAAGGTACTAGAACAAGGAAAAAAACTTTTCTATACAACCAAGTAGATATCTGGGGAATAAGTCAGGACGTGGAGAGCTGGGGAAGCCAAAGATGGCTTCCTGCTTTTTCAAAACACCTCCCCTGTTTATATTCAGGGTTTTGCTGAAGATGGGCCCAACTTCATTGTTCCAGCACAAAGGTGAGAGGACTGGGGGAAAGGGCATCAAGAAGCTGTCACCCAGACATACAGAGCTGGGGGCATCAGGATTTACTTGTCTAATCCTTCCTTATAGTACCTTCAGAAGCCTTAAGGGCCAGGGGAAGCACTAGCCAAAGAGGGGTCTGGACTTGGAAGCACCCCCAACTCTTACTTTGTCCCTTCACCCCAGAGCTGAGCCTATGACAAAAGTTCATCAGCCAATGCCTACACCCAGAGAACTAGAACCTCCATTCCAACCGTCCACTCCACCTGCTGACCCTCCAGAGAGCCCACTACCAGGTAAGGACTTGAATAAAGGAATGAGACTCAAAAGTCTTGAGTAGCCAACATGAGCTTGAAACATCAGGGGCAGAACTATGGGTGGGGCTTTACCCATCCCAGGGTAGATCAGGATGTATAAAATGTGATTTGGCCTCAAGAACTTGGGGGGGGGGGGTTCTTGTTTTTGCTTTGCAATACTGTGCATCAAATCTAGGGCTTAGGCATGTTAGGCAAACCTAATCACAAGATTTTAGGAGCAGGCTTACTCCTCTAAAGACAGGTTAGTGTTTGGGGGAAAAGACTGAGGCTTGTGAGGTGGTATTTAAATCACCTGGGGTGAGGAATGCCCAACTGTGACCCTCTCTTTTCCTCAGCCCCAGATCCTGTTCTGGAGGTCCCATTGATCTCAACACCGTCCAGCCTTTTACGCCCCCGTCTCAGTCCCTGGAGCTTGGCCCCTCTCTTCCAGTCCGTCCGATCCAAGCTTGAGAGCTTCGCTGACATCTTCCTCACGCCTAACAAAGCACCACAGCCTCCACCCCCATCACCTCCCATGAAATTGGAGTTGAAGATTGCTATCTCAGAGGCTGAGCAGTCCAGGGCTACTGAGAGAATTGCATCTGTCAGCCCCCGGCCCCCTATCCGCCAGTGGCGGACTCTGGACAATTCCCTAGCACCTGCCTCTAAGTTGTCTCTGGGCCGAAGCTACTCCTGCCCTGATCTGGGGCCCCCTGGTCCAGGTAGCTGTACCTGGCCTCCTGTTCCATCCCAGCCAAACCAATCCAGGCCCCGGAGACATACTGTGGGTTGTGGGGAGATGGCCCGGACCCCACCACCTCCTCGGCCCTGTCTCCGGAAAGAGGTCTTCCCTCTTGGAGGTGTGGGAGCCTCACCTTCTCTCACTACATCTTGCTCATCCACTGCATCCACTTCCTTCTTCTGCGAACCAGCAGAACCCAGGTAGTGCTCTCAATAAACCCTTCTGGAAGCCTTGGCCACAGCCAGAGCCTGGCCTCCTTTGCTCAGTAACCAGTGACAGAAGACGGGTGTATTGCTGTGTATTTTTCTTGTCCTGACTGTTGACCATCTCTGCAGATTGGGTTCAACCAAGGGGAAGGAGTTAAAAGCCTCAAAGGACAAGGTGTTTTCTGACCCAGAGACCAAGGTAATGAGCAAAGAGACAGGAGCCAGCTGAGGCCTGAGCCCATGCCTTCCTTTTACCCTCTGCCCCATTTTTACAGACCATGGGAAAGGTTTCTAGATTCAGAATACGGAGAACTCCCGTCCGTCTCCAGCCAAACCTTACACCAATGGGACTGCCTCGACCAATCAGGTGAGAGGCTCAGAGAGTGTGGCTGCCTTGACCAAGTAGGTAATAACTCCTCTATCCCTGAAGTAAAGCCTTGTCTCCTCTCAGGAAGTGTGTCATCCAGCCTGGAAGATTAGTTTAGCATGGGTGTGGCTTGTGCTTAGAGCTTCCTCAGATGTCACTTCCAACTGTTGCATGGCCCAGAAACTGAAATTCAGTCAGGCTTTACCTATAGCTTCTCAGGACCTCCTTGCTCAAGGTTTCTCAGTGCCCTCTGCTTTTTGCTTCTAGGTTGAACAAGAAGGAGTTCACTTTGGAAGAAATTTATACTAATAAGAATTACCAATCACCCACAACCAGAAGGTGAGAAACTTGGAAGGCCTAAGGGCAGTAGAGGACTGTTTGAACCAGGGAACAAGCTAATAAAGACCTCTTCTCCCTCCCTGGCCCAGGACCTTTGAGACCATCTTTGAGGAACCACGGGAGCGCAATGGGACTCTGATTTTTACCAGCTCTAGGAAACTCCGACGGGCTGTAGAATTTCGGGATAGTAGCATGCCTCGATCCCGTCGACCATCACGAGGAGTCCGCACTGCAGCCAGCAGGACCCTTACTCCCAACCTGGCACCCAGCCAGGATGTAGGACCTCTGCTGCAAGAACGGCTGAAGGAACTAGATGCCTTGCTCCTAGAGGAGGAGGAGATAGATAGGGAACACCCCTGTTAGCTCTAGAATCTCCAACTGTTTGTCCATCCATCCTTCAGGGAGGGGAGAATCTCTGGATCAACTGTATTTTTTTCTCTATATTTCTATAAAGTTTCCAATATGTTTCTGATTCCTTTGTCTTCAGCAGAGTTTGAGATCAGTTAGTTATACTAGCTGATGTTTCTGTGTTGGTCACCAAAGGAGTAGAAAAGGGACAGTACCAAAGAAAAAAGGGGTTGCAGCAGACAAGGGGGAGAGAGTGGTCATTAGAGATTTCAACAGCACTCTCATCCCCTGGCAGTGCTAGGGGGTCAAACCTAGATCCCTGTTCACACACCTCTGATCTACATCTCCAGCCCAGAGATAACACTCTTCAGAACTCTTTTATGGGCTGATATTTATGAAGGAAAAAAGGAAAAATGACAACACACGACTCAATTACATCATAGAAATTAAAAAGCTTTAGAATAGACTAAGGCCTTGTTCAAGATGGTCTTGAATTCCTCCCAAATGCTGTAATCACCCACCTAGGACAACCTACCATAGATATTTGGCTGGCACAAGCCCTACTAGGGAATTTATCAACGAGCAAACAAGGTGAGTTTATCAAGAAAATATCCATGTTAGAGTAACAGCTAAGGCCGGTGAGCCAACTAGCTGATAAAAGGTGCTTGGCATGTAAGCCTGGTTACCAGAATCTGATCCCCAGCACCCACAAAAAAAAGCTGAAAGGGAGAAGACAACACAAAGTTGTCCTCGGCCTCAGCATGGATGTCATGGCACTAGCACCTCTACATACATCATGCCCATGCCCCACACAATAACGATACATTTAACATTAAAAAACAACAAAAAACCCACATCACTCACATAAAGGCTTAGGACTGTGGCCAGGGCCCCGAATCTGGAGCTAGAATCCTGGCTGTTCGAATACAGATGTCCTTAATAAAATAGAGCGAATAGCAAATATTTACCTCGAAATTATTACCAAGTGAATTAATGTGAAAGAGTACTCCGCACACGAGTGCAAGGTGTTTTTTATTGTTGAGCGCTGGAAGGGAAGACCACAGCTCGGACCCCGCAGGAACAGAGAAGCTCGGTCTCCGCCCCACCGCTGACCCTGGGCCAGCGTGCCTCCCTGTGCTGAGGCGCCGCGATAGTGCGATCCGCCCAAAGACCGGCAGGAGGTGCTACCGCCGTGCGCCTGCGCGAAATGCCAACAGGCAGAAAGGCAGAAGACCCTGCCCGTCAGAGAAGCGCACCTAGGACAGCCAGCCGAACGCCTCCCAGCGGCCCGCGGCCCTCCCACTCCAGGCACCGCCTCCCAACGCCTCGCCTCGTCGCCGTCAGAAGGCGGCCAGTAAACGAAGAGCAGGAAGAGGCGGTGGCCTAAGGGACCGCTCCAAACACCGACTTCGGACCGCTCGAGTCACAAGACTCGGGAGGGCGGGGCCAATCTGACGACCCAATCCGAGGTTTGAGGGCGGTTACATCCGGCACTCCCGCGACTTTGACTCCGCCCTTCGCTTGACGTATACTTACCAACCTATAAACGCCCGAGCCACGGAGGGAGGGGGAAGGAGGCGGAGAGTGGGAGGAGGCGGAGAGAGGAAGGAGGCGTTGGCTGAGGAGGAAGAGGGAGGAGGGGCAGGGAAGTTCTTGCGGAGAAGAGGCCGAAGACTCCAAAGAAGACAACAGGAGGGTACAGTGGAGTTCCTCGCTGCCCAGCGGCCTTTCTGGATCCTTCTAGTCGCAAGTCAGTCAGGGACGGACGAAAGGAGGAAGAGTCTTTTATGTCGGAGGGCAGGGAAAGAAGCTCTATCCGTCACCGTTGCCTCACATCCGGGGCTTTGGAAGGCAGGCTCCGCCCCCTTGCACCTTTCAAGGCTACTGGAGGCGTAGACCTCTTTAAATCTCCTTAAAGGGGTGGGCACCGAACTCGGCCGACTCCAACTACAGCCTTAAAGGGGAAACCTGCCGAAGCTGACAAACAGGACTCCTGTTGGAAGAATTGGGTCAAGTGGAGTTTTCCTACCTCCTGTCCCACGCAAGAAGTTCTTTAAATTCATCTTAAAGGGGAAGTGGCAGTTTGTGGAGGACTAGAAACTTAACTGATCTCTTAAAAGGGACGGCCTGCTGTTTGAAAGCCTCTGGACTCTTTAAAGGGGTGGCCTCTTTCAGCCGGAGGACTTAAGACACTTTTAAAGGGGAGGTCGCGCTTTCCGCCCCTTTTAAAGGGGTGGCCCTTCCTCTTCCTCTGGGAGACTTGCCTCGACCCCTGGCACGGGGCCGCCACCGCACTAGACCAGCCGGACACGGTGGAGTCGTCTTAAAGGGGCCGGGGGCTGGACAGTTTGAGGCCTCGCCTTAAAGGGACGGCCACTCAGTTTTCGTCGTCGCGGCCCCGCCAGCCCTACAGGGGGGGCCTTCAGGCTTGTCGCCCCGGGGGCGGCGCCGGCTCTCTGGGCCTTGGCCTTGGGGCAAGCCAGGGGCCAGCGGATCCTGTTTTAAAGAGGAAGCCGAAGCTCTCCCGTCCCTGTGCAAACGCCAGCACCGCGCTCGCGACCCCGGGCCTGTGGACAGGCCGCTTCGGGCCCCGCCGCCTCCGGATGCGGCGCTGAGGGCCGTCACCATGGAGACGGCCGCGGCCCCAGGCCCGGGCTGGGCAGCTGAGGGGGAGCGGCGGCGAAGACGTTGCTCGCGGCGAGACCGTGATCGGGAGCAGCGGCGCCGCCGAGGTCCAGGCGGTGACGCGCCCCGGGCCTTGTTGGCCGCCCCGCGCGGCTCTTCATCCTCGTCGTCACCGCCGCCACCCGCCCGGCCTTGGTCGTCAGCTTCTTCTGGAGAGAGGCCTGGGGGCCTGAGACGGCGGCGACCCCGACCCAGACCTCGACCCCCGAGACCGCGAGCTCGGAAGCGGCCTGCCGGTTCGGGCAGCCGCGGCGAGGAAGAGGAGGAAGAGGAAGAGGGGGCCGCAGACGACGGGGAAGCTGAGGAGGAGCCTGAGGAGGAGGAAGAAGAGGAGGAAGACTTGATCGATGGCTTTGCCATCGCTAGCTTTGCCAGTCTTGAGGCCTTGCAGGTGTGTCCTGATAGGGTTTGGGGGTCTTTGGGAGAAGGGTCAGAAGGGCAGAGAGGATACAGCCCTCAAAGTGGATGGGATTGAAGGGGCAGTGGTGACACCCCAAACCAGAGCAACCGGCTCCTCTGGCCTGGCTTCTGCCCCACCCTGGGGTGGGAGGAGGTAGAGCTAGTCTCTAGGGACTACCTAAGTTACCCAGACTGAGAGGCACTTGAGTAGCTTGGTCACCCTTAGAGAGTTGGGGAGCTTTTCTTTCTCCAACTACTCCAGTCCCACCTCCTCTTCTACAGAAGGATGCATCTCTTCAGCCCCCAGAGCGACTGGAACATAGGCTGAAGCATTCTGGGAAACGGAAGAGGGGGGGCTCCAGTGGGGCCACTGGGGAGCCAGGGGACAGCTCAGATCGTGAGCCTGGCCGGCCCCCTGGGGATAGGCCTCGAAAATGGCCCAATAAGCGAAGACGGAAAGAGGTGAGCCTGTCCCAGATTCCAATCTTTCAAAATTCCTCAGTCAGAGTACCATTCATGTAGATTGGTTTTCCATGAGCATCAAACTGTCGATCCTGAACTGTACTCCCAGTTTCTAAGAGCAGAAAGGAAGGCAGAACATATTGGACAGCAGCCCCCCTCTCTAGTCCAGGCCTGACAACAACTTGACTACAGTCATACTCACTTGCTTTTGCTTGTGCTATGTATGCTACAAACTTGCTGATGATTTAAGAGACACATCAAAGACACTTAGTTGAATTATAAATATATTAGGTGTTCCTGCCCTTCCCTCTAGCTGGTGGCAACCTAGGGAGAAAGAAACAGTCAACAAGCAAACACCTAGACCGTTTGAGCAGCTGTACAAAGCAGTGATCTGGGAGAGAGCTGTAAGAAGTGCTGCAGAAACCCACATGAGGAAGCCACTCATTCTGTCTGGGGGATGGGCAGAGGGTTGTGGTTAGGGAAAGCCCCCTAGAATGTCTTGGGCCCCAAAGTAGAGTCAGAAGTTTGCTCAGGAAAGAAATGAAGAAAAGTTGTTTTGAACAAAATGTCAGATGTGAGAACCTGGTGTATTAAGAAAATAGTAAGAGCATTGGGAATGGAGGTGAGAAGTACCCAAAGAAAATGTTAGAAAAAATGTTAGTCAATTTTAAGTGTCCTTTAATGCCTTGCTGGGAGTTTTGGCTTTATACAGTTTCCTGACCAGTCAGCCTCCCTTACCTCTGAATTCTGGTCTTTCTCAGGCCTTCTCCCGTCACTCTCTGGAAGCTGGATATATAGTAAGTGTTATCCACCTATAATGGCCCTTCCCTTTTCCCCGTTGGGTCCCACTCCTCTTCTACCTCCTGATATCTCTCTCTTTCCTTCTCAGTGTGACGCAGAAAGTGATCTGGATGAGAGGGTGAGTGGGGCTAGGACTTGTTGGGTGGGCATGTTACACATGTTTAAATGGTCTACAGCTTACAGAATTTCTACAAGCAGCAGACATCCTAAGTGGGATGTCTGCTGAGTGGGAACATGGGTTATAGTGAACCAGGATTAAGTTTTGAAGAGGAAAGGAGGGAAGAAGGAAGTGTTGGGGTGAGGGTTGAGGCCACTGTGTATATGTGTCAGAGGATAACTTTTAGGAGTCACTATAACTCTTCCACCATGTAGGCTCCAGGGGTGGAACTCAAGTCATCAGGTTCCCAAAGTTCCTTTACCTGCTGAGTTATCTTGCTGGCCCTGTTTTTTTTTTTTTGTTTTGTTTTTTGTTTTTTGTTTTGTTTATTTGATTTGGGTTTCTGTTTGGTTGGTTGGTTGGTTGATTGGTTGGTTTGGTTTTTGTTTTTCATTTTAGTTTGTGTATGGGTGTTTTGTCTGCATGTATGTCTGCCTATCACCTGTGTGCAGTGCCTGAGAAGGCCAGAAGAGGGTATCAGATCCCCTGGAACTGGAGTTACAGCCAGTTATGAGCCTCCTTGTGGGTGGTAGGAGTTGAACCTGGATCTTCTGGAAGAAGAGACAGGGTTCTTATCTGCTAATCTGTTTCTCCAAACATATACCCTGCTTCTCCACCCA